GCGCCGGTGCAAGAGGTCGGGCTCCAGGGCCCTGGGGCGCCTGTGAGCTGCGCGGGTAGTGCCTGCGCCTTGTCCCCGAGGGCACCTGTGCGCGCCTGGCGGACAGGTGAGAGGCAAGGAAACCGTGTTAGAAGTCGGGCGGGCGCTGTTCCCCAGGAATCCAAGTGGATTCAAATCCAGAACACGGCGGCAGAGAAGACCTTGCTGCTTGGCCGCACCAGGATGTCAGCGCTCAGCCTGTCCCAGCTAGCCCGCCAGCACCAGCGGCAGCCATGCACCCTGGCCGTGGAGGACACCGAGGGGCAGCTGGAGCAGGTGAGGCCCCTCCTCATGTCCCCTGGCCCCAAACATCTCTCTCTGGAAACCCCGCCATTAGCAACACATTCTGCTGGCTGGGCTTGGTCAGAGTCCTCTGCAGGATGTGGGCCCATCGCAGCCCAGATGTCCTGCCTGCTCGGGGCAGTGTCTTCTTGGCTCTCTCGGTCATTTGCTGTGTGTCCAGAAGAAAGTCGTGCCCCCTGGAGTGGTACATGAATGTGATCCTAGCACTCTGGGAGGCTGAGGCAGGAGGATTGCAAGTCTGAGCACTAGCTTGGGCAATTTAGCAACTTAGTCTCAAAATAAAAATAAAAACAGTAGCAGGTGTGGTGGTGCAGGCCTGTAATCCCAGCACTGGGAGACAGGCAGGAGGATCACCTTTGAGTTTGAGGCCAGTGGGAGCTATGGGGCCTCCCGGAGGGTGTGCAGCGGGCTTCCTTTGTGCACAGCAATGCCACCAGATGTCCCTGTGGCCCAAGCACACTGTGGAGGGCCAGGCCTCGGGGAGGGTGGGTGGCGCACCCCAAGCTCCTCGTTGTCCCCTGTGAGTGCCTGCAGAGGGAGGAAAGGGGAGGGAGGTCCCCCGCAAGCCACTGTCCTGCACCCAGGGAGCCTGTGAGCCACTTCCTGGTTGGTCAGGTCGGTGCTGCCACTGATCCCAGGTATGGCCCAGGTCCCCTGCTGGACAATGGCCAGCTGTCAGGAGGCCGCAGGGATGTGTGAACAGGGCAGTCCACCCCTTTTCCATCAACCCCCCATCTTGCCTTGGAGGCTCAGTGGGGGACTCTGTGCCTTTACCCTAACCCGGACTCCTGTGTCCAGGCTTGGGGCTCCCTGTCCTGTCCCAACAGCAGTGGGAGGAGTCAGGCACCTGGCCTTGCCATCCTTACTGTCCATTGACTTCCGCTGTGACACTTGTTAGCCTCCGTCCATCTTCAGTGCAGTTTCCTTCTCAGACTCGGGTGACACACACGTGAAGAGGCACCCCAGATGGCTGAGTTTGCCATCAAGGCCTAGTTCTATGGTACCTCACCAAGTCCATGTAAGTTAAATATCAGTTGTGCTGGGTGCAGCAGCCCATACCTGCAATTGCAGCTACTGGGGAGACTGAGGCAGGAGGACTGCAAGTTCAAGGACAGCCTGAGTAGCTTAGTGACTTAGGGAGACTGTCTCAAAATATTTTCCTAAAAAGGCTGGAGATATAGCTCAGTTCGTGAAGGCCCTGGGTTCTATGCCATTAATTGAAACACAAGGCAGGGCAGGTCACAAACCAGTGAATGTGCCCGATCCAATTAAAAGGGAGACAATGCTGACCCACGCTGGGGACCAGATCCATCTGGGGCTCCCCGTCTGTCTGGGAACCGTGTGGCATCATCACTGCTGCTCCCCTAACAGGGTCCCCCAGCCCCACCCCTGCCTTGCTGGCTGCAGGGTGTCGGGGGTGGGGCCAGCAGCCATCTGGGACCCGGCTGTGATGCGGCTGTCGGGCCCCCAGGTGAAGGTGTTCATCCTGGACCTCTCTGCCACACTGGCCGGCCTGGATGGAAGATGTGAGGAGCCTGGCCATATGGCCGTGGGGCTTACGGAGAGTACACAGCAGGCACAGAATAAATGCAGGCCCTGGCGGCTGGGAAGAGGGGCTGCGAGGCCCACACCTCATCTATCCTGATGGGGCTGAGGTGCAGGGCTCAGGGTCAGGGGACCCAGCAGGGTGTGCAGTGGGCGGGGCTGCTGCAGGGGGGCGGGGCTGCTGCAGGGGGTGGGCCCACCCTGACCTAAGAACCGAAGCAGGACAGGAGCCACAGGGACCGGGCAGGGCCCGCCCCGCCCTCGGGGAACCCGGGGAGGAGAATGGCCCAAACAGCCAGAGGGCGGGCGGGGCCCGCCCCGCCCTCGGGGAACCCGGGGAGGAGAATGGCCCAAACATACTCTCACTCCACCAGAGATGCTCAATAAAGTTTATTTCTTTAAAAGCCTGTCACGGAGCCTGAGGCACTCGGCTTAGACCCTGTGGCCCCGACCCGTGAACCCAGAGCACATGGAAGCAGCAGCACCAAGTTGCCAACTCAGGGCTTGGCCTGCTTGGCTTTGCTGGCGAACTCCTACATATCCTTCAACACCCTGCTCACATGTCTCTGTCTCGGCAGAGGTAGCTGCTGTGCTCAATTTCAGGGTGCGGTGCCAGCAGTGCACGGGGAAATGACGGCTGATGTCCAAGCAGGGCCACGAGAAAAGCCTTGGGGCCAAGCCCTGGTCTTCACATCCTCTTCCTCATCTTGCCCTTCCGAGAGGGGGTGCCCCGGCCAAAGGCGCCCTGCCGCAGCTCCTGGGCCCGGCGGCGGTTGCGGGCGGACAGCTGCTTGAGGCCGCCACGCTGCAGGAAGCGCAGCTTCTGGGCCCGCCGCCGCTGCTTCAGGATCTGTTGCTTGGTCTTGAGCTCAGAGTGAACACGGCCCGCGGGGGTGCTGGGGGCACGAGGCTGGGATGCACCTGCGGGTCACAGAGGTGGGGGCTCAGCCTCGGGTCAGGTGGCCTCCAAGTGTCTCCCTTCCCACTCCCTACACCCCGTCCCTGCTTCTGCCCTGCGCCTGCTGCTGCAGCCCAAGTGACAGACACACAGCAGGTACTTAAGGAGGACAGGAGAGAAAGTAAAAGCGAGGAAGGCAGGCAGCCGGGCAGAGGCCAGAGGCGGGAGCACAGGAGACCGTGGGAGGAGCCAGGCTGGTGGCCGCACACAGGCAGCGGGGAGGGCTCCTCATGGATGGGGCCCGGGGCCCAGGGCCCAGGACAAAGACGCAGCTCAGACATGGAAAGGAGGTGGTGACCGCCCACGGGGCAGGGGGAGAAAAGCAGGGCCCCAGTGGAGGTGGCAGGCAGTGGGCAGCCCCCACCAAAGGCTGGGGCAGGTGGAGCTGGCTGGAGGGCGCTTGGCGGCAGGCATGGCCTCTGCCCCTTGGGCCAGGCCGGCCCGGGGCCCAGGGCCCAGGACAAAGACGCAGCTCAGACATGGAAAGGAGGTGGTGACCGCCCACGGGGCAGGGGGAGAAAAGCAGGGCCCCAGTGGAGGTGGCAGGCAGTGGGCAGCCCCCACCAAAGGCTGGGGCAGGTGGAGCTGGCTGGAGGGCGCTTGGCGGCAGGCATGGCCTCTGCCCCTTGGGCCAGGCCCCGGGCTTATACGCAGGGGTCCCACACTTTGCCCCTCAGGCCAGGCCAGTGTGACCCCTGAGCAGCTCTGCAGACAGGGCGGCCCCCAGCCCCGCCTTGGACACTGACTCCTTTGGCACAGGGACCCAGGCCAAGCTCCCGGAGACCATGAGGTCCACCTGCCGGTCCACACCGGAGGCCGCCCTCCCCAGCCTCCCCCCAAGCAGCTGCCTGGGTCTGCTAATGTCGCTAGAAAGACCACCAGCCCAGACACACCAGGACGACCCTCTCAGCCGGCTCCCCACTCCTCCTCAGGCTGAACCTCGGCCCATGGGCAGCACCTGTATGGCTGAATGGACTGCGACCCACCACCCGTCACCACCGCCTGCCGGATGTAGGTCCAGCGGCAACCGAGGGGACAGGGTGGGGTCAGGGGAGGGGGGCGGGCCGGGGCCTGGCCACACCCACTTACCGAGCGACCCACCACCCGTCACCACCGCCTGCCGGATGTAGGTCCAGCGGCAACCGAGGGGACAGGGTGGGGTCAGGGGAGGGGGGCGGGCCGGGCCCTGGCCACACCCACTTACCGGACCAGCTCTGGGGCTGTGCGCAGCCTTGCACCTCTGGGCTCAGCCTCCCCCTCACTGTACCAGCTCACCTCGCCCACGTGCGCACCCACCTCCCGACCCTCCCTCTCACCCTGGCTGCGCCCTCGCTTCCCGCCTCTCCGAGGTGGGCCTCGACGGTCAGACGGCCCTTCCTCCTCAGAGTCTTGATCATCGATTTTCTGTTTCTGCTTCCACTTCTGGTAGCTGGGAAGCACCGTTAAGGAAGGTCACGTGCACCCCTGGACTGGGGACAGGCCCCGCCCCACTCTGCCCTCCCCCAGCAAGCACAGGCTCCTCCTCCGTGCTGCTGAGAAAGCTGAGCTGCCCCTATCTGTCCAGGCTTGGGCCCTGGATACAGGTCACGCTTGTAGGAGCTGCTGATGTAGCGGCCGCTCTCAGTCTTGATCTTCTTCTTGTCATCCTGTCCTGACTGTCCCACAAACCGCTTCTTCTTTCGGTCCCTGTGGGAGAAGGAGTTAGGGATGGTGGCTCCTTTCCTCACCTGACCCTTGCATGAGGCCGCTGTCGTGCGTGATGAAATCAAAGGGGCAGGGTCACCCTGGCGCACAGGGGCCAGGCAGACTGCAGGCCTGGCGTCACTCACCACTTGAGCTGCTGCCGGCCCTGGGTCAGGTTCTGCGACTCGTCCCCCATCAGGTCCAGGACAGCGCCAGCCACCTGCTGTTCAAACGCCCCTGTAGCACTCCCCACTCTAAGGCTGCAGGCAGAGGTGGGAGATAGACAGCGTTGACAGGGCCGATGGGCCCCGCAGCCCACCAGGACCCACAGCCACTCACCCCCGTTCGCTGTCGAAGTCTTTGGGCCGGTAGGGGACGTAGAACTCCTGATCCTGCCGCCAGGCCTCCTCCCTCCGCCTCTTGGCTCCTCCACCAGGGCCTGGCTGAGGCCGCTTCCGGCCCACGACTTCAGTGAAGACTCGCTGGCAGGGGGAGGCCAGGGTCACACCTGTGGCCTGGGGAAGCCCGCCTACCGCCACACCCACGCCCAGCCAGAGCTGATTCTGGGCAGCCATGTGTAACGACCTGGCTTTCCCACTTTCGGGCTGGGACCTGCGTGCCAGTGTCCCCATCTCCATGGGAGCAGAGACAGCTAGGTGTCAGCTGCTACGAGGCCCTGGCAAGGCCTCCACCCTGGGCCTGTGCATGCCTAGGTTTCAGCTCTGCTTTCTGAAGTGGCCCCTCCATCTGAATGATGTCTGAAACACCAGGGAGGTACAGGCTGGGCACCTGCCTGCCTGCAGAGCGTCACTGCGGGCCCTGACACTGCCATGGCATACTGGCTGCCAATGATACAGCTCACACTGCTGGGCACCGCAGGGCTCCCTCATACTGGCACTGACCGGCACGCAGGCCTGGGCACAGGGGCCAGACACACTGAGAGGTGAGGCCATCCGGCCTGTCCAGCCTGGTGTCTGGGTGTCCTGCAGGTCCCTGATGTGCGCCATCCCGGACCCCACTGAGCACCACCCACGCAGCGCCCTTGGGGACCCAACCCCCACCCCGCCCAGTCCAGGCTCCAGGGCCCCGCACCTCCACGCTCTCTGCCACGGCCTCCTCTTCTTCCTCCTGTGGCGCTGGGCAGGCGGGGGCAGAGCCAGCCAGGCCTTGCTGTCGCTCCTTCCGCCCCTGCTGGAAGCGGCTGATGGCTCTGCGGTCCTTCTGCCGCTTGGCACGCATCACCTGGCTGCTCAGGTCGTGGCTAGAGGCGTTGATCTCGAAGATGGTCTGCAGGGGACAGCCGAGTCCATCACCTGTTGGCCTCTGGCACCCAAGCCCACCTCACCTGCCGGGGGGACCCTCCCAGCCCTGCCCAACATCTCCTACTGCGTAAGGCGGGTGCCTGGCAGTTAGGAAGGGAGGCTCAGAGAGGGTGGGTAACTTGCCCAAGGCCACAAAGGTAGGAAAAGCCTGAGCATGGGCTTCAACCAGAGTCCACGTGACTCCCAAGCCAGTGCTCTTGGCCCCGGCGAGGAGGGCAGTCACGCCCACTGTGTGCCTCGAACCCCCGAGGGCCACAGGGACGACCCACACCAGCTGCAGGGTGAGAGGTGCCAAGCTCAGAAGCCCTGGGGGACAGGAGCGGGCGGGTCGCCTGAGAGCTGCTCACCGCACGGGCGCGGTACCGCCGGACGCCGTCCACCAGCCTCAGCCTCTGCAGCTCCCCCTCCTCGAA